AAAAAAATTATATCTCAAAATGTTTATTTTCAAGAGTACATTACAGGAAAATTATTCATTTTTTGGAATTATTAAAATTTCATATCGATTTCAGTTCACCCCGTCAGTCTTATTATTATTAACAAATAACTTATTATTAATAACAAAAATGTTTATTTTCAAGAGTACATTACAGGAAAATTATTCATTTTTTGGAATTCTTAAAATTTCATATCGATTTCAGTTCACCCCGTCAGTCTTATTATTATTAACAAATAACTTATTATTAATAACAAAAATGTTTATTTTTGTGTGTGTGCGGGGGGGGGGGGTTTTCACGAAAAAAAAAAACGGGACTTCCTCTGTCGACTGATTGAAATAAATACTTCGACGGTAGGAGCATGAACGGAAAAAACAACACATAAAGGGAGGAATGTGTTTGAGTATATATTTGCTGTTATTCGGTTTATATATATATATATATATTCTTTGTACCATGTCGAATAAAATAATTTGAATTGAATTGGATATCTCCCCTTTGACATTTCTTATAGAAATGATAACTGTCAAAAAGCGCTCATTTCGGAAGCGGTTTTTTCTTGCGCTCATTAAAAAAACAAGGAAAGGTGGCATCCAGCGAAAAAAAGAAAAATCCTCGCAACTACTCAGCGAACGTGAGCGCTCTATTGTGCTGGGTGTACCAACTGCATGGAAAGTCAAACATTTTTTCCAACAGTGCATTGCAGTCAGTCTCCCTTGCTTGAATAGAAATGTAATGCAATTTTACATATTGAAATAACACAAAGAATGACAAAAGACGGTTGTAAACGGCCCACTAGACAATCATATTGCATATACGCTCTGATCCAAGAGGCTGTACATTTTGTATTTATTCATCATTATTTTGAGGAAATTTACCGTTGAATTGTTTTAACAGATATCTGCGAATAATTAATATTTTCTTGTAGTTTAAAGAGGAGGTTTGAAAAGTTAAAAAATCTGTCCATACTTACAGCTTTACTAGTAGTCAAAGTGTGTTGAGAAGGAAAACATTAAAAATTATAACATGCATTAAAAATTGTTTATGTCTTAGCACTATAACGAAATACCTGAGCTGTGTTCGCAACGGGAATCGAACCTCAAATTTCATGTTGTTGTTTTTGTTTCTTATATCCGAAACGCGTTTTTTCTTTGTTTATGTCTTGGCACTATACCGAAATACCTGAGCTGTGTCCGCAACGGGGATCGAATCTCAAGTTTAATTTATTTCTCTTATATCCGAAACGCGTTTTTTTTTTTTTTTTTTCATATACTGGACATCGTAAAACTTTTTCAACTTGGAATAGGAAAATTAAAGTCGAAGGAGTTTTGGCACTAGACGCTACGACAGTTATATAGATGAAATAGTAGTATTTTTTTTTCCAAATCAAGATCGCTCCTCTATCAAGTTAGTTACTGAGAAATTTCATTTTGACTTTAAATAATTTTTTTAAGGATCTCAATGAAAAAATCCGGTATGAAAGACGTGTTTATTAAAACATACTACAAATTCAATGCCAAAGAAACATCTAGAAAATGTCGTGTACGTCAAAGAAACTCTTCTTTGGAAGAAGGTATGTTTGTTTGTAATTAAGCACAAAGCTATAGAATGGGCTATCTGTGCTCTGCCCATCACGGGTATCGAAACCCGGATTCTAGCGTTGTACGTCCGCAGACATGCCGCTGTGCCACTGGGGGAGGGGGGGGCTGGAAGAAGGTAATCGAAATATTATGAATTAGATATTGAAAATTGTAGTTTGTTTTTTAAAAAAAGCTAACTGGGCTATTTGCTCAAGGAATTGAACCCCGGATTTTAGGGTTGTAAGTACGTAAACTTACAAGACTGAGGAAAGCAGTGGTTATCGTTGTTAGGTCTGATTTTCAAAAAGATAAAAATTCTACTTCTACAGTAAAACAAACATCATAAAGTACTTTCTAAGCCTCAAGTAACAT